AGCCAAGTTAGAGATAACGCATCTTGCAGTGGCTGTGTTTTTCAGGCCAATAATCCATATTTCAAATGCATTTAAACAAGTTATTGAGGGAAGGATTCCATTTCATTCTGCTTAGAATTACGCACAAAATGGTATGTGACAGTTTCTGCCTCGTTCACGTTAGTTTCGGACATTTTACCTGCGTTTCACTTTTAGAACCCTCTTGAAAATGAGTTACAGTCTTGTGGATAAAATGGGTCTAGGAATTAATGCTTGGTTTTCATCTTTGGATATGCTGCAGATGAACAGTATGACGTTCAGTTTTTCTGTCCTCAGTTTCTCTGCATGCAAAAGAGAACAACTGCTACCTTTCTAATACATGTCGGTGGTACTGTGTGAAAGACACTGCATTGGTGCAGGAGATCACTTGTCCAGATGTGCACTGGCTCTTTAAAGTGCAGCCAGATGTGTACGTGGCATTGGAGCTGACTGCACCATCACCTTCCTTACAAATTAATGTTGTTGGTAGGCACTGAAGAAATAAGCTTGACGCTGCTTTCATGGAAACGTGCCTCATCTCCCACTGGTTTCACTAGAAGCTAGATCAGGCTCAATGAGTTGCTGACAGACCTCTTGCAAATTAAGGTTTCTCCCAGGCCTCTTGGACAAAGTGAAACTTTGTGGCTTTTCAAAGTGTGTTTTGGGTGTGTTTTTGTGATATAATTGTGCTGCTTCTCATTTTCCGCCCCGTGCGTGACATTGAGGCTTCTTACTGTTTTAAGTGCCGCTGTCTGGTGTTTCACAGATCAGGAATGTGTCCGGTGATTAATCTTGTGCCTTCATACAACTCGAGGGAGTGACATAACTAAACCTGCTCTCCCCATCATAATACTGTCCTGTGCCAGCCCGCATCAAACTCTGCCTTTTCAGAAACTTCCAGCTCACCGGTAGCTATTACTCAGAGCCCTGCTACCCTGGAAAGCCCAGGCTATCTCAGGTTTCCTTTGCCATTCGGGTAGTCCTTGTTTCTGGTGATGCCCGTTGCGTGATGCTTCAGCACAGAACAGCGTATCCCCCGACACCCACCGTGCACGCCCAGTTGTGCAATGCCTTTGGAGTTCCTTCTCCATCCGTTTTGAGGCATCACCTTCTGCCCTGAAGCATGAAAATTGCTTCTCCTTATCTTTACCTACATTACTCAGGCTGCTGTCATCAGTCATGAAGTTATCTGTTGCCCTTTTCAAACCAGCTCCAGCGTTGACTCCTCTGACCTTCCCTCCTAATGAATTCCATAGGCTGGATGCACTGTTGAAAAAAACATTTCTTAAACTTTCCACTGATCAAACTGGGGGACTGTAAATTAAATAATATGATACATTGCCTCTAGTTATGCTCAAAGAATATGGTCATTAAAACAAACCCAGTATCTCCTTCTTCTGGATCATGTTTTCTACCTCTGCCTCTTTATTTAGATTAAATTTGCTAGACTTCAGTGCTGCTTTTCATTCGGGTTGATAAAAGGAACAGGATCACCATTCTAAAGTGAATTTCAAAGGACAAAATCTCAGCTGAAGTTTAAATTGAAGCAAAAAGACTTAACTTCCGATATTCCTGCAAATTTGGGGACAAAAGTCTCTATTTTTTTTTTCCTTCTTCCTTTCTTGCTGCTCTGTCAGGATTTTATATGAACTATTTTTATTTTTTCATGCCGTGACCATGTTTGTTATGCGCAGCGTCCTTTTTCTTTTAAGTCTGAAAGAGGTCAGATTAAATACACACAATGAAAAAGAGGCTAAGCAGTTCAAATAACTGCAGATGGACTATTTCGGACAGGACTGACTTCAAGCAGCAGGAAGCACCAGTTGCAAACAGTAAAGCTCCCAGGGAAAATATGCCAGCAATTTGTCTTTTATAACCTTGTGCATAACCATTGGGTAGGAGATTTTATATACAGTGACCCTCTGTTCTTGCTCAATTCAGTCTAGCAAAGCAAGATGGTACAAATCTTGCCTTTTTTTGATGTGTAGTGGCAGAAGCGTGTTCCTTTAGCTTGTAAATGCTGCAGGTTGGGATGTGAAACCTTTCTGGTAAAGCAGGGAAA